AAAATGAGATGGGCATCGCTGCCTACGCCGACGGCCAGAGGCCCGCGCATCTACAGTTTTTTCGCCTGACCCCATCAGTGCCGACCCAACTACACCACCACGCGCATGCCTCGCGGCGGATATGCGCACCAGCAAGAAGGTTTCGGTCATCCCTTGAGGGTGAGTCTAGCCCTGCTCGCCAGAACCCCCCCCCCTTCACTACAACCCATGTCGAAGCAAAAGCTTGTCGAGGAGCGAGGGGAAGAAGGGAGAGAACAACTTTTCTGTTTGTCATTCATCAGAAGGCATAGGGTGTGGGAAGCGTTCCCCGTTCTCCTTTTATTTTATTGTGATCGGTCTCCTCGACGCTCTTTCTCGTTTGGTGCGGTAGCTGGTCTTTCTTTCTATCATTTTGTTTCTCTTCCGAGTGGTTTTTGTACCCTTTTTTTTTCTGTTTCTTCGTGGGGTCGTGTATAACGGGTTTTGAGACCACGGGCTCCCAATCTTTCTTTTTTAGAGCTAATGTGAGAAACAACAACAACAAAACAACAAATAGGCGCCTTCTTCGACGAATGTGGAGATCCGGGGTAATTAGTCGAAGGCTGTTGGACGTTCGATTTGCGTGTGTAGGAGTCGCTGCTGCTGTCTCCTCTCCGTGGTATGCCAGTACAATTGAGATACCGTTCTCCTCTCTGTTTGTGCGTCAAGTGCAGTATGTCCTACCAATTCCAGTCCTCCTACCGATACATACGCAAGGTGCTAACGGTACTTGGTGGTACACCGAAAATCGCATGGAAAGGGTGCCACTTGCTGCAGGTACAAACCAGTACCTCTACCTGCTGCTTTGGGGTGCGACTATTTCGCACGCCCCTGTAGAGCCCGAAAGTAACGTAAAGGCCTACGCCTAGAGGCATCCCCCAGACTGTCCATGTAGTCTACACGTGTACATCAAAAGATAGTCTATCCACAATCAGATGCTGATTCCTGCACAGCAGGGCAAATTGCTTCGCGAACGTTGTCGCGAAAAGAACAATCAACCTTTGCGACAAAGACGATTCACCACTACATGCGTGCATACCCCCGGCCGTGTGTGAGATTCTCTGACGACGGGCAGGAGGTACTCATAGCTTGGATTATGGCGATAGCGTAGTAGGTAGTCTCCGATGAAGAGTGCACCCTGGGCTGGCTTTCGTCCACCCTCTTTTATCTGTTGCTCCAGCTCCAGCAACCCCCCCTCCTCGCTGAAACCTACTCCCTTCCGTGGTGTCCGCTCGAAAAACTTACCTGCCTGGCGATTTTTCACGCCGGCTGGCAATGCATTTCAATTGGCGACTACTGCTGAATACAAGTGACCCAGAGTACTGCTCACCGCGTTGTGGTTATATGATGGGGTGGTCGCTGTCTCGCACTCCGCCTGCTACTCTCGTGTCTGTGTGGCTGAAGGTAGATGAACACTTTGGACGAAGAAGGAAAAAAGAGATGTGGGAGGAGGGGTCTTCCCAGATCGTGTCGTATGATTGATTGGGGCAGCAGAGAGAGATTGATTTTTCTTTGGGGAGCCTAGACTACTACTACTACTGCTGTTGCTGGAGACTACACAGACTACATACAGTCTACAGCTGCCGCTGTTTCACCTTCTTCGTCTACGAAAGAGGTATTCGTGTGACATGTACCGCTGTTGCTGCTCGCTCCCATATTTCGCTACCGCACGCACAGTTGAGGTCTTGTCTGCTACATACCGTACACCTTATTCCATGCACCAAAAAAAAAACAGCTCTCGTCGCTCGCGAGGGAGTCGGTGTACCTTTTTTTTTTTCTTCTTACTATCACACAACAAATCCATCTCTATCTATCTATAGAAATAAGTCTAAGATAGCTTAGCAATGAATCCATAGCGTGAGCGAAAGGTTACCTGTATGTCTACGGTTTCCCAGACAGCATACAACGATATCTCCCCTGTGGATAACAGGCTCAACAAGGCAGTGTGGTAGCCATCTTGTGTATCTACTGTTGAGAAGTTGTAGACGGAAGATTTAGGGGAACTGTCGGGTGTGTTCTATTATGGCACCCTTCCTTATGTGTTCGCGGAGCAAGCGCGTCTCGGGGTGTGTACATTTTCGACTTTTTCTATTTTCTCGCCATGTCCATGTATATATATTCATATCACAGCAGTCTACCCATACATATTGTAGTCTACAGCAGCAGTCGCCTGTTTGACTGAACGCGGTATAGACTTCTAAGCGGACACAAAAACGTTTGACGCACGAGCCCGGGTCACACAAGAGAAATGCAGCTTTTTTTTTTCCTCCTGCGGTCCTTGCCTTCAGTTCGTAGGGCGAACGTTTCAGCACCCACACAAAATAAATGTACCAGTACATCGTTTGGGGGCATATATTTCGTGCTCCAAGCTCCAAAACAAGCATAGACGAATTACAGCAGGTTCGACGGCCGGTTTCTGGGTGTTCGTTCATGTCTACAAGTCTACCAGTCACGCTTACCGATTTGGCGTCGTCCTCTCAGAAGCTATCATCATGCATGGACTGCTCCTCACATGCATACTGCTTGTTACCCGAGCACCACACAGCAGCAATCAGCACAACAACACTTGCGTATCGAAGTAGAAATTTGCGGTCCCACAACACCGGCTTGGATGTCCTCCGAAGCTACAATGTACCAGTCTACATGTTCTACTGCTGTGCTACACCTGGATAGGGAAACGAAAGTGAAACGAATAGAAGACTAGTAGGGAGAACAAACTTAGACTAATCACTCACCTAAAACTAACCCGTGGGAAGGACGATGGTGGTACAGTAGTCGGCCGCTTGGGATGGCTGGTAAAAAAGTGGGTGGGATCACAGTTTGCTCTCTCTGTCCAACAAAGCCAAGCGGTTCGTCTGCAACACCTCGGGTAAGCTTGAATGAATGCGCTCGTACACAGCTTTGCGGGTTGTGCGCGTCGATCGTTGTTGTTGTTGTCTCTCAGATTAGGTCTGTCTGTAGTCTAGTCCACAAAAAATGGGGAGCCCGTGGTCTGAAAACACGCCGCGGGGAAACAAAAAAAACAAAAATTGGGTACAAACCAATCACTCGGAAAAAGAAAACAAAATGATAGAAAGAAAAGAACAAACAGGTACCGCACCGACCGTTCGAGAAAAGGACCCTCGGAAACCGATCGTGTGTGGTGGTACATGTGTAGGCATGAGGCTGAACAAGCAATTTTTGTACCTTCCCGGCAAAATGCAGGTTAATTATTTGTTTCTGACGCAACCAACCATAGATAGAACATTCTCCAAAGGCTTCGGGGAGGGGGTACGTACGTAAAGCAGTAAAGCCCCGCCCGAAACAAAGAAGAACCCCCTTCTTCACAAGAAATATAATTGACGAGGAACTGATGCTACGGGAACTGACAACCACAAAAACTCCGACACAAGGACCATACCACATCCATCCATCGCTTATACTGTACGTAGACTTTCGAGGCCTGAATACTCCGCACGTAGATAGAGCTGATCCAACAGTGGCGAGGCCGAAATGGGTGACCATGAACCGTCTCATCGAGATCTTTCCGAAATCAAACGTACCAAAAGTATTTTTGATTTTTGCATCCCCTTTTTCCTACATAGTGTTCCTCCCTGTTCTGATGACATGTGGCTACTCAGCGATCTGCAAAGCCGACAGTCCCGCACTTCAATTCCCCGCATGTTGCGGGGGTCGATCCACTACCTGCGATGTGCGACCTCTGTAACGAGCCGTGCTTGCTGTGTACGATCGCAGCAGCAGTGCATCCGAAGCCATGACAGAGAGCTTCGGGAACCTCGGTGGTTTCTGTGGCATGCATGGTGGGCCGAATGGCCGTGGCTGGGGGACCTGTCGATTTTTGCTCGACAATGCTCTTCCGTGGGTCATGATGACTGTGAGCGACAGCAGGGCGCGATTGGACAGAGTACATAATACATATGTAGCCCGGTGCATAACATAAGTCATCAAACCGATTTACATTCCGCTGTCCACTGTACGGCAGTCGTAAACCTCCAATAAGGCGGGTATGCGCCAGGCCGATTCACGCGCTCCATTCTATGGGACACCCCCCAAAATGTGTAGACTATACATACATACGGATTCACAAATAACCGTAGTTGCGGTTTTATTACGGTGCGGTTTGCCCCACCCCGTAGCTAAAACCGCAGTACACCGCGATGAAAACCGCAGTAAACTGCGGTAAAAACAGCAGGTAAGGTACGGTTCTGTCGTGGAGACAAACACACACCAGGAACATTGAACACCGACATTTTTTTTTGAACCAGCACACACGCACCACCGTGTCCCTCCACCTCACACACGACCCCACTGCGATACGCTCCGTGCACAACTCCGCCCATCTCTGATGAAGTCACTCCCCGACGATGGCGACCAGCCTCTTGCAGAGGTGGTCGCCACGCGTCCATCTCCTTCTCCCAGTGGGTCTACCACTGCTCTGCTGGCGCTGCTGATGCCGCCCAAACTGGTGGCACCCCGTAGACAGTTTGCAGCGTGCAACTCACCGCCGTCAACGCATTCGCGGGTTGTAGCCCGTGGCGGGCATGAGCCGCCTGCCTGGTGGTGTTGGCAGATTTTTTCTTCATTTTTTCTAGCATATTCACATAATCGCGTATATATTCCAACGACAACACTAGTTGTTGAAGCAAGTGAGGAACGTAGCTCGTGATGTAGGAACGTATGGTGACTGGGAAAGTGAAGAAAATGATCAGGAGCTTCTCCTTTGTCTGGGGTTTTCGGGTTTCTGACCACAAGCCGCGGGAGTGATCGTGTCGGCCTCATTTCAATGGACTAAACCTCACGTATTCCACGAAAAAAAAAAATCATGGAGCCCCGTCATTTTGTCACGGACAACCGTAGTATTCTCCGCGGTGTTCTTCGACGGTGCACCGCCGCCAAGGCCGCGGTTCGCGCGGTTTTGTCACGGGGTGGAAAAACCGCACCGTCAAAAGACCGTGCGACGGTGAACCGCACCGCACCGTCGAACTCGGGGATGATGGTAAAAGCCGCACCGCACAGCACCGTCAAATATCGAGATGGTAAAAACCGCACCACACCGCACCGCACCGTGACCATGTCAAGATACAAAAAATCGCACCGCGGTGCGGTTCCATACGGTGAACATCCCTGAATTTTACCTGCCATGTTATATAACCCGCCATCTACCGTAGGCCTGCTGTATTGTGTGTCCATCATGTTCTGCTGGGGATGCTACATTGATCGTCGATGGATGGTACCCCCGCTTGCACAGCTTTTCTGTACCTGCCGCCCGGGGAGGGAAGGAGCCTGGGATAAGGTTATCGCAACCCAAGGAATTGCTGTGCAGAGCTACAAAAGTTCAAGTTCAAGTATGCTACGTTGCGTATGCTCAGTTGAATAGAGACGAATCGGATTAAGGGTTCGACAAAAATCTAAAACTACCGCGGTCTTCTGCTTTGTAGGTTCCATCATTCCACCCTAAAAGCGTATGCAAACATTATTAGTCCACGTGTGGCTCCTGTTCGGAAAAACAACAAGAGACTCTGGAAAAACTCCCCCATCCGACCCTTTTGCAGGGGTTCGCAAACTTGAAGGGTCAAACTACATATGCATATATATGTAACACAAACCGGCGAGTTTTTGCGGGTTCACCATCACGCGGCTCTTTCCGAGGGACTGAAACCTTTGGAAGACCCTGGTTTTGCAGTTGCGGTGGGACGAGCGCTTCCGCCTGCTTTGGACAGACCACCTCTCCTTGTCTTCGACCAACAATAGCACTTGTGGTCTGTTACTGTCCACCGCGTCCTAATGTGTTGCGGCTGTAGCGACGCCCAGGTCTGCTCCCACGCGTGTTTCTGGTCTTGTCAGTCGAAATTTGGTCCAAGGAAAGGGAGGATGGCAAATTGGAAAGGAAACAGACCATGTTCTTGCGTCCTTTAGTGGGTGAGTTCGTCAGGTGGGCCCTGCGGCGTGCAACAAGCAAGGCACCACGCCGCACTAACGAGGACCTCCTTTGATTGGTCCGCAACAGAATACATCGCGCTGACAACGAAAATGATATACTCCAGTACAGTATTGCTTGTTCTTGACCCAGGAACTCAGTGATGGAGCCCCTGAGAAACACGTGAAATTCATGCCAACCACATGCATGTCACAAGTGTTATGAGTTTTTTCTCTTGCGCAAGTATTGACAGCCGATGTCGCGCCTCTCCAGCACGAACGTTGCGAGATACTGCTGTCACCTCCACATGAGTAACCGCGACCGCTATGGTGATGCCCCCCGCCCCCCCCCCCCGGCCATACAGGAGCTGGAGCGGTTGTGGGCCTTCTATCGGAACGAAAGTGACAAGTGCGCCTTTCCGGTCCTTCACCTCCCTTCTACAACAGCTCCACCGGAAGCTGGGCGGGATGAGGGGTGCCTGAAGACCTCTCTTCCACCGCGGCGGGCGCAACCGGCGGTGGTCATCAGGGCGGCGGTGGCGGCAACAAGAGCAGCAGGAGTGGGGGCGGCGGCAAAGACGCTGGCGTTACCACGAGGACGACGACGACGACTCTCCTGGATGACCCAGACCTGCAGTACAGCAGCCCGACTGTTTCGACCGGCGGGGCGCTGCATCCGACCCCTCAGGCGGGATAGGGTTTGGCTGTGTGTTGCATGTCTTTCTTTTAGGAGATTGGGCGACAATCGGGTACAACCTCCACGTGATGATGGGTGTACTTGCGAAAAGGAGGTACGACATGTATTGCCGTATAAGTTTTCTTCTTGCTTGATCCACCGCACAATCCGTCTGCACGCGGACCGACCGTGTTTGCCTATCCCCTTCGTCCTCCCCGGTTCCCACTTCAGCATCTGCCCTACATTGGCGTGGGTACCCCCCGCCCCCCCCCCCTCGCGCGCGCTCGTCTCAACGAATAATTTCCTGTGCGCGCTGCTGTCAACCAGCTGGTCAATTTGGACCGTTTCGCCGCATCACCGTCGGCTGAAGCTATGAACACACTGCCTGAACGACCGCAAACCAAGAACAATTTGTCGTGAGCGGGAGCGGCGGCAACAGCAGCAGCAGCGGGGCCACGAGAATCCGCGGACGCACGCCAGCCTCGAGCGGGATGGCGGGCATGATGTCATCTTCACAGCAGGGCCAGGACGGGAACGGGGGGGGGGCTCCGGCTGGGGTCCGTCCTCTTCAAGCACCCCCTGGCCCATCNCGCACGCCAGCCTCGAGCGGGATGGCGGGCATGATGTCATCTTCACAGCAGGGCCAGGACGGGAACGGGGGGGGGGCTCCGGCTGGGGTCCGTCCTCTTCAAGCACCCCCTGGCACTTCTGTAGCAGGGGAGCGGTGGTGTTGGTGACGACGTGGACGGCTGCATGGGCGTCATGGCCAACACCAGCGGCGACAAAAGCTTGACCACCGAGGACCCGTACGTGCGGGCCGCCCTCAAGAGAGCCATCGTCGAGCTGTACGACACCTACCACCGGCTTCTGTCGTGCAAGGTTGGCGAGGCCGGGGTGGCTTGTTGCTTCTTGCTCTCAAATTGCTGCACGATGGACGGTGCGTGATACTTGTCGAGGAGGGATGAGGCTCCGAACCGTGAGAGGCCCGCCTCAAATGCCTGGGTGCTGGTTATGTTTCCCCCCGCATTGGGGGGGATACTAGCTTATGTCGGAACACCCCTGTCGTACAGTACGTTCCCAAGTATATTCTGAGTGCGTGTTAGCTTCCCCTAGGGTGCGTCAATGAATAAATTTGTGTTACGGGCCGTTCCGTGTAAGATTGCCCCGAAGCGTGTTTCGGGGGGCGTTGTGCTGGGCAGCCTCCCTTGGGTTGGAAACAATCCTCAGACTGATGCAACACGCTGCCGTGTTGCTCCATCCACGCTGTAGCATCTCTTGTGTGCAGCGCTCGTGTCACGTTGCAACACACGCCAGAGAGCATTGTTTTGCGTATATTTGTGTTGCTGATATAATGCGTCCCCAATACAAAACACACCCAACAACATATTATTTTACCTCCGATGTACAAGTGGAGATCAGGACGCGCAACCTGAATAGTCCATTACGGTCGAAACTGCCGCATCCCCCGTGTCGTAAACTGCTGCATCTNGATCCAAAAAGAGTTGATCGGAGATTGCGCGAAAAAGTCCGCCTGGAAGGTTTCCGAGGAAAAAGAGTTCAGGCACCGAGCGAGGAAAATCCGCGTGGAGAAGCGTGGACAGATATCGTGGAGAAGGGAAACATAAGAGGTAGCAGTGAAGGGGCTGGTAGAGGTGAGAGCTTGTTGAAGTCAGTTTGGATCCATTGCGGCGACGATCCACTGAT